ATTGTTTTAGCACAGCAAGATGGATCGGTAGGTATTCCCTCTAAGAATGCTTTTCTATCCTGAGTAATATTGCGGGTGTGTGGTGTGTGTCTTCGCAATTTACATACTGTTTTTATCTTTTGTTAAAATATGTCCTTTTAAATTTGATCGATTGCCGTTGGTCTTCATATTTCGCGCGTATTGTTTCTGTCAAAAGTTGTCATACTCATGATAAGTGGGTGGGGAGGTGCTATTTCAAGAGGCGTTGACGGTTTTCGGTGGGCTTGCCATGACACCGCACCATGCTAATATCTGTAGGTTATCTCTTTTCTCTTTATTCAAATTACTTTCGTGACTGAGAGACTGTCATAAAAACTACGCTATCATGCGGGTTATCGTACAGGTTACATCAACCACAAAAATTTCTCATCTCACATTCCGTAGGACAGTGTGCGAAAAGTCAAAACTCATTCTTTTAATTAATGACAGGAACCGGGAAACAATATTCAAATGTGAAGTTCTTGTATGTTAAACTTTAACGTCAGCACAATAGGGGCTCGCACAAAAGTGGTATGCTTATTTTTCGCTTCAGTTCTTAGTTCATGTTGTCGTTCTCAAACCAATGTTTGATAGGGTTATGCAACTCACTGAGAGTGTGTCCGAATTCAGCCACCGACCGAGCACCGACCGGTCGGTGCTCGGTCGGTGGCTGAATTCGGACACACTCCAAGCTATCTAAGGTCGTTCATATTTTCTTGTTTCTTCTAGTTAAGCTTTCCATCAGGTTTCCTACTAACACCTGATTCAATGGGCGTGTCACTCAACCAGGGAGTCCTCTAAATTAGGTTCGTATTCCGAACTTTTCTGCCAATATATTGGTGCTGATGTTTGATGATTTCTGCATTGTTTTGGGTTATTTATTCCATGGTGTGCACCTTTCACAATTTACTCTTTTCCTTGGAAACAGCTTTCATCTTATTTATTTTTTTATGTCTAGCATTTTTACAAACCATGAACCAAAATGGTGATACCAGTGGAAGCTCGAAAGGGAAATCCTGGGAACGGCCATGGAGTACAGATGAAATGCGTCAGAATGCTCATGCATGGAATTTAGCGGGTGATGCAGGTTTGCTGAAACATTTGCAAGAGTTTTCTCAGGTAAATATTTTTCTTTTCCTGTATGTTTCTACTGAATGTGTTTTGGAGCTTGAATGAATACATATCTATTCCTTATACATTAACAGGCAGTGTTAGCTCGGACTCACACCACTGAAAAGTCATTGGATTTGCTCAATGAAGAGATCAACACCTTAACCTCTGAACTAAATAATACCAATAACAAATTTTTGTGCCTTGCTAATACTCAATTTGTAGAGAATCGAGTTTATGATGATGACGATAAAGAAACTCCCCAGACAGAGGCTGCTCCTGAAAAGAAGGTAGTTTTGCTTCTTATATTCCAAAATATTATTTATTACTGCTGTTTAACTTATCTTTCATTAACAATTTCAGTCAAAAGAGGAAACAGAAGCAAAAATGTTACAAAAGGTTCGTGAGGCCTTATCAATGAGTGTAGCTGTCCTTGATACAATGTTTGAACCTGTAGAAATACAAGCTAGTGATTCTGAAGGAGAGTGTGATAGTGACAAACAAGGGTAAGCAGACTACATTATATTTGCTGGCATGAATATATTTGTTATCTATGTACCCTTGAATTTTCAAAGGGCTCACCTTTAATTTTTCCACAGGACTAAAACTTTAATACTAGAACCGCATAACCCATACATTCACCGTCCTCTTCCGCACCTCATTGGATCAGAGCCATTTATGTCAGATGACCAAATTGGTCTTGGTGACACTCCAAGTGATGATGAAGATCAGTCACCCAAAACTGGTGTTGATCAGGATATGGAGACTTCTAGTGAGTCTGATGTGGACTTTCCTCCATTTGCGAGCAGTAAAAGAGATAGGGTTAGTTAAATGGTTCTGTTTCAATTTGGTTTATACCATTTTTTGCTCTACAATAACTAATAATCAATTTTTATCTGTTGTGAAGGATATTTATTCTTCTCATAGTTCAATATCAGATCATCCAGATTACCAGGAAAGATCTGAGAAACAACCAAAGAAGATCAAACCTACTGACCCTGTTAAAAATATTGATGAAGATTATAATGAAGTTCAAGAAGTGGGTACTACTTGTTTCTTCTTATTATTATAGACCTCTACAATCTTCTCAGAATCTTACCTTAGGTATTATTTTCCAGCCTACATCTTCTATTAGACAGTCAGCTCAAACAAATAGTGCTTTTGCTGCTCAGCTTGCAGCTAAATTGGATAAAATTGCATCTCCATTAAAAAGCACTGATCATGATACTCGAAATATTTCTGTTCCAAGCAAATCTACGTCAGGTACAAAAATAATCTCGTCAATATGTCGTCCCCCCCCCCCCCCCCGCCTCTCTTTTCTTTCTTTTTTTTTTATGTGATAGATCTACAGTACCTTGTTCTCTGTTACAGATAATTTATTTGGAGAAGATCACTCAGATGATGAGGATGATGGTCTTTTTCCTGGAAATTCAAGTTTATTCTCTGATAGGCCTAAACTTTTTGATGACTTGACAGAAACCAGTGATTCATTGTGGGGGCCAGAAGACCCCAAACCTAGTAAGTTTCTGTCATTAACTAAATAAGTGTTGTTATTTAGTTGTTTATCTTTATTTTTTAAATGTTTCAAACAATATCACAATTCCTGTCCCAGTCAAAACTTCAGGACCAGAAAATAATAAGACTAATCAAGATATTCACAGCCGAACTCAAAATCGTGTTACAACTGATCTCTTTCCCAGTACTGATGATGAAGATGATTTGTTCCCAATCAAAGCCACAAACCCATCCAAGAGTTCAACTGTGGTTTCTAAAGAAAATATTAAAGATCCAGGCTCTATTAGGTTTGTTTATTAGAAAAAAAAATTGTTGCTATTATTTGTAATGTAATCATAATCAATCTTGGTTTGATTTTCTTCTCTTTTTAGGTCAATGATAACAAAACAGCATAATTTAAAAGTGGGAGAAATCAGACCAGGCTTGGCCACCAGTACACCTGAAAGAGGCCATAACGAAGAAAACTTGGAGAACAAATCGGGTTTATTTGGCAGTGTCTCCCAAAACCTCACTCAGGGTTTGTTGATATTTTCTGGAAAATCAGTTATTAAAAGCTGTCGTTTTTTTTTTTTTCTTTTTCTTTTTATTCATGTACATTTTTGCCCCCTTAGAGTCTTCCAGAGTGGACACTGCGACTGCTAAGAATAGCAGTATGATTGAAAATGAACCTTCTAGCAGAATTGACCATCATTCTCAAGAAAAAGTAAGTGTCAGACAAATTTGATCTTTTATCATCTAACTCCATCCGAGTTGTTAAAGTGACAATCTTAATATTTTTAGAAACCAGCCGGAGGTGTTCCAATGTTTGGGCAGGCTGATGTATTAGCTGGACTGAAGGCTAAATTTCCCCGTAGACCTTCTTCCTCCTCATCAGAGTCATCAAACAGTAGTCCTTCTGAAAGAAATTCTGATTCTCTTCAAAAATCTGAGTCCACCGGCCCATCAGTCGATCATCCAACTGGTAATACTGTCAGTGCCGATCAAGGTTGGAGTAGTGCTGTTGGTGCTTCTCAATATAGGTGAGGTTAATGGATTTAATTTCAACTTTTAACAGAATCAAGTTTTAAAATAAATAATAATAAATTATTATCAATTACTTTAATTTTCAGCCAAAGTGCAAGCCTTGGATTTGCATCACCTGCCTTGACATCCACAAGATTATCCAATGATGATGGTTATCAGACAAGAAATGTATTGAATTCAGTGTCCAGCATTCCAGCTGCTAATGCGCACTATAATGATGGAGATAATATATCTTCAAGAAAATCGTCAGCATTCGACTCACAAAATCCCCCCTCACTTTCAGGAGGACTATTTGCTGAGGTTAATGATGATGATGATGATGATGATGATCTTTTTGGTCGTCCAACAACTAAAAAGGCTGAAAAGGAGCAATCTCAAGGTGCATTACCACAAACTGCAGGAAACGATTCTTTTAAAGAAGATAAGAAAGCTCCAGTTTCTGTTACTAATGAGGCACCCAAGACTGCTCAACTGTCTACCAATTACTCTGCTGTAGCCAATACAGAAAGGAACTTTTTCCAAAGTGACTTTCATAGCACAGTTCCCCCTCCATTAAAAGCTGAAAGCAAAATTAAAAAGCCAGTGTCATTATTTGACGATTCTGATTCAGGTGAAGATGAGATTTTGTTTTCATCAGCTAGTTCAGCTGGTTCAAGACGCTCTCAAGCTTCAACAGATATCTTAGCGTCAGCGGCAGTTTCTAGCAGTGAAAAGAAACCCCTGAGTAAGAAGGGTCTCTTCGATGATGATGACACTCTTTTTGGCAGTGCTCGCAATGTTCCTGATGTTGACCTATTTAGTGAACCTTCAAAGCCTGTTGTTGAGACTCACACTAGTACTGATACAAAGAAGACAATTCCAAACAAGAGTTTTGTTGAGAAAGATGGACCGGTATCTAGTGATACAACGCAGGATTTCACTCCCAGGAGCTTGGAGAAACCTAAAAGCTCAGAACCTCTAAAAGAACCAATTCATAGTGACATTTTTGAGGATGATCTTTTTGCTGAAGTTGAAGACAATGATTTCCTTTTTGGTGTCAAACCCAAAGCTGCTCCCAAAACTGACAAAGTTCTTTTAAATTCTTCAAATACTGAAGATGAGGAAAATGACTTATTTCAAAATGTTTCTGTACCACAACTTAAACAGAAAGAAAGTACACAAGCAAATACCGTACAGTCAAAAACTTCAAATTCTACGGTACCTTTGTCAAAGCCATCTTTGGTTGTTGAAAACTCCTCTGAGCCACAAGTGCACTCAACTAATGCTACTTTAAGTGAAGGTTCAAACAAGGTCAGTACTTCTGTTAAAAACTACAGCATCATTGAAGAACCAAGTAATGCTGCTCAGCCTTTCAAAAAGCCTGAGCCACCAAGAACTTTAGACATTAGGAAAGAAACAGATCCTGGCCTTGGCTTATTGAATGACAGTGATGATGATGATGACTTGTTTGGTACATCAGTATCCAAAATATCTGCTCCTGCTCCCAAACCATTTCAAAAACCACAGATTGCCTCTAAACCAGAACCGATTGTTCCAAAGTTTGATGTTAAAAAACCCACTGATGATGGAGCTCCAAGTAGTGATTCTGTGGGTAAACCTCCAGGGCGTAGTGAGGTTGATGGGGCTGCTGTTAGTGTGTCCAAACTAAAAGATTCGTTGTTAAGTGAGTTTGTTTTATTAATTAATTATGTGTCTTTCTTTGCTTTACCAAATTTTTTTGGTATAAGTCCTAATAATTTTCTATTTTTATGTGTGTGATATCAACAGCTGGCAGTAGTGGACAACCAGCTTTGAAAATTGATCCTCGAGCATTCTTACCAGGTCAAAAGCCACCTCTACGGAAAACTCCTCCGAAGGAAGATACTGATGGCTTAACAGTCAAAGAGCCACTAAAGGCCTCAGGCTCAGAAAATCCTGTTAGTTTTGAGCAGCCTGTCACAAATAATGCTACATTACCGTCAACTAACAAGGTTGTTTATATATCTTGATTAGTTTCTTTTTATCGCCCTATAACTTTGTCTTACAAATTTTTCTATTCTTTAATTCTAGGATAGAGCAAAGCTGGGTGTCAAACGACGTCCTCCTAGCAGTAAAGCTCGCAGGGAATCTGCTAGAGCAAGTATGAATTTGGATCAATCTGATAAAGAAAGTCCTTTATCCCCAGATGTCTCCTCTGTTGTTACTGATTCCAATAGTGCAGTCAATAATACAAGTGTTAACTCAAGCAATAGTGTTCTCTCCCCCTCCACTGATGAGGATGATCTGTTTGGTGTGCCACAAGATCTCCCACCTGAGTATGGAAACCAGACATTACCTTCCTCTGACATTTTCAGTGGGGCACCCATTCTTTCTCCTCTATCGGGTATTGAACCTGCTCAACAATCTCAACAAAACGAGAGTAAGGCAAACAGCCTGAAGGTTTCTGAGGAAGCAAAAGCCATCCTTTTTACTCCTCCTGATTTGGAAAACATATCTAAAACAGATGATTTGTTTGTTTCTACACAAACTCGTCCAGATGAAGTATCTATGCCAAATTCTTTACCAGTGACAGGAACCTGCGCTTCAAAAGACACACCTACTGTTGTCCATCCTGTGGGTTCTGATAGTTCACAAACATCATCAGCTGCTGATCAGATTTTGCAAGACATTATAGAAGAATTATCTCACACAACTCTATCCTCTTCAGAAACCTCTGTGAAGACGAATGAGAATGAATATCTAAAGGAAGATGTTTCTACAAAAATATCATCAGGCAATGAGATTTCTGGCAAAACATCTGCTGTAGATCCTTTGAACAAAGCTGACCATCCGTCGGTCAGTAATGATGATGATCTCTTTAAACCTAATAATGATTTTGATGATCACAGCTCTCTTTTTCCATTTGTTAAGAAGAAGCCAGAAAGTAAGCAATCGAGTAATCAACCACTGTTTTCTCAAACTCCAGCTCTACCATCTAAAGAGGATATATCTGTTGCAAAACCTGGTCTTGCTGGACTTGTTGATATTGATGATGATGATCTGTTTTCATCCTCAAGCAAAAAGGCAGTTGGGAAGAAAATACTTGACACTTCCAGTAAGTTAAAAGGGAAAGAAATAAAAACATGGAAGTTATCTGATGATGATGACGATGACAACCTTTTTCAAACTGGTACAAAAAGTACATTAGCTAATTCTTCAAGTATCTCGTCTTCTAAAGTGCCTATCCCTGTGTCTTCATCTGCTGCTTCACAATCAGTTGACTCTAAATTAGTTACAAGTAAATCATCCAAACTGGAAGTAAGTGTCAAGAAATCAAAGCCTAAACCTTCTCCTGGAAATGGTCTTTTTAGTGATGAGAACGATGAAGATGATGATCTATTCTCAAAACCATCTCCATTTTTAAAAAATAAAGCAAAACCTACAAATGTTTCAAAGTCATCAACATTGTTTGATGATGATGATGACGATTTATTTGGTTCTAAACCTAGTGCTTCGAACAAACCACTAGAAAAAAAAGAAAACAGTAAGTGTAATGAATGAACTCTGTATGACAGTCCATTCCATACCTAAAATCTTATTATAAAAATAATTTTAACCTATGATTTTGTTGTGTTTCAGATTTAAAGGATGCAGCTGAAGTTAAGTCTCACATTTCCACATCTTCCGCTCATTCCAAACAGAATGTCTTTGATGATCCACTGATGTCACTTGGAAATAAGAAGTGATTTTTTGCTGTTACGTATTAGCTCAACTGAACAAGTGATTGATAGCATATTTATAATCTACTAGCCCTGATTGTTTTGAGTAGTGCATTGGTGTTTAGCCATTTAATTTTTTGCCTTCTCCTCACATGTACTGTGTGTTTATGGTGGTTCTGTTTATCATACTTTTTTGTTTAATTGTATAAAAGATTATTCACATAATTCTCAAGGAACTAGAGGTTTTTTTTTTACAGGTATCTTCTGTTTATCGTAAGTTGACTGACTGGTTGGAGGATAAAATAATTTTAGGTAATCAAATCTATTTTTGTACTGAGATTCATTGGTATGGTGCACTTGCTATGTCAGTTGTTGGCTGCTGGTTCTACATAAGTCACCATACTTATATTCTATTTCAACGTAAAATACATTCTGCTTTTATCTGAACCAATTTACTGCTACTGAGATTTTTTTTTGGGAGGCCATAGGCTTGCCATTTGACTGTATTATTGTAATATTTTTGCATCTTTATTTTCTGTGATGACCTTACTGAACACTTCTGTCTAGTCTGGTCATAGATTAATTGTTTTTTTATGGGTGATTTTTTAAAAAATCTACCAT